TGTAGGCTCTGATTCAGTAGCTCTGGGGTGGGGTCTGACATTCTGCATATCAAATGAGTTTTCTGGTGGTGGTTATGCCAGGGTAGGATCACACTTCAAGTAGCAAGGACCTAGGAATTCTAACTGTTTATCTAACAGCTTTTCACCTACTCCTTCTTATTTCAGCTGTATTCCTTACACACACACGCACACACACACACACACACACACACACACACACAAGCTGAGTCAGTTACTACTGGCTCATCTGCTTTCTGGCTTCCAAAATAGTGTTGCTGCCATCTTTTCCTCTTCCCTCCATCTTTACGAGTTTATGTGTTTGACAAAATTCTTTGGTGTTAAGGATTTTCAGGAAGAAGCAAAATTAGATGTGTGTGTTCTACCATATTAACCCTAACCATCTGCTAAAATATTTTCCTGAAGTTTGGTTGTAACCAAGTAAATAAAGCCTGTTTCCTTGTAAATAACCACTATTTAGGCCTCTAGGTCTTTGTAAAAGGAGTATTACCTACTTCTCCCTCCTCCTTTGTCTGCCTGCCAGATTCTTACAAAATCTTCAAGACCCAACTCACACAGCTGGCTTCTGTGAAGCCCATTTTGGTCTCCAAGATGTTAAAGCTTCTTGGCTGTCCTGACTCTGAAACCAGATGCTTATTCAGTATCTCTCCCAAAAGGCTGTGAGCTCCTCAGACATGGGGCTTGTGTCTTTGTAGCTCAGTGCCCAGCACATATCAGGAGCTTGTAGATGTTTAAGAATGAAATTTCTGCCTGCATGCTTACTTTTCTCTTTTTTCTTCACTTTCTTTCTGCTCTCTTCGTCTCTTCTTTCTTTTGGTTGTTATTAGATTTGTTATCTATTCTGTTATCAAATAGAAATCCATTTCCCATAATCTTAATTTTAAAAGTAAATAGGTAGAATAAACAATAGTTTTCAATTTCCAAAAACTACTGAGTGAAACAGATTTAAATATTATATATACGTTCATCTGATTCTCCCCACCAACTCTAAGGACTGTTAAAAGACAAAAATTTTCTTAGTCCTAGATGAAGACATAATTCTTACCACCTAATGGAATTATCTGTTGAAGGAGTCTGAATCTAAATTATTTAAATAAATTAAACATAAATATTTTTTAGTTTCACTAATAAAAATTAAAATGTTTACAAAGTCTGCATGGCTCCTTTCAGGTTTCTTGCCTATGAAACTCCTTTTTCAGAGCAGATATACTTTTGTCAAATTTTAACCCTATAGTTCTTGCTAACCTCGTTATCTGGTCAGTATATGATTTAAATAATAGAATCAAGAAAAATGCATAATCACATGCTCACCATTCCAATCTCAGTGTGGATTTCAGATATTATGTCCGTTATTTTAACATGTTGCAGCCCAAACAATATTTCATCTTTCAAAAGAAACATAAAAATGTCCCTCAAATTGAAAATCTAGATATCACTTGCATTGTTTAATTGAAGAGCATGTTTAAGTAATGTAATACTAAAGTTTTTACATTCAGCTACCACAAACATGTTATATTTTAATTGATTCTGTTGCAATGACAACAGAATTTTGGCTTTTTGGCTTAAGTTTACTTTTTAAAATTTACATTTTAATTAATTTTTTTTTTAGAGATAGGGTCTCACTCTGTTACCCAGGCTGAGTGCCTGTGGGATGATCATAGCTCACTGTAACCTCGAACTCCGGGGCTCAAGTGATCCTCCTGCCTCAGTCTCCTGAGTAGCTGGAACTACAGGTCACACCACCACGCCCAGCTAATTTTAAAACTTATTTTTGGTGGAGATGGAATCTCACCACACGTTGCCCAGGCTGGTCTCAAATTCCTGTCCTCAAGTAATCCTCCTGCTTCAACCTCCCAACGTGCTGGGATTACAGATGTGAGCCACTGTACTTATCCTAAATTTGCTTTTTAATATTATTAATTTAAAAATTATTTTTCACAGGTGGATTCTTTGTTAATTAATGTGGGACTTAGGAAAGTACTATGTTGGTGTTATAAATATTCAATGAAGATTTTGAAAATAAATTTTAATTTCTAATCTCCTAAAGGTCATTACTATTCAAAAATTTATTTTATGTTGCAATTCACTATTTTGTTCTGCATTTATTAATAGCATAATCCCATTTATGTCCCCTACATATTTTCAAAATTAATTCTAACAAAATGAATATAAGTTGGGATGTTGATTCTGGCTAATCTTTTGGTCTTTACCATCTTTGATAATCAGGTATTGATTTCTAACCTCTGAAGATGGATGAAGGTATGGAAATTTCAAGTGAAGGAAATTCCTTGATCAAAGCAGTCCATCAGAGCCGGCTTCGCCTCACAAGACTTTTGCTAGAAGGCGGTGCCTACATTAATGAGAGCAACGACCGTGGGGAAACCCCTTTAATGATCGCTTGTAAGACCAAACATGTGGATCACCAGAGTGTCAGTAAAGCCAAAATGGTGAAATACCTGTTAGAGAACAATGCTGATCCCAACATACAGGACAAATCTGGGAAAACGGCTTTGATGCATGCTTGCTTAGAAAAAGCTGGCCCTGAAGTTGTTTCCTTGCTCCTCAAGAGTGGGGCTGACCTCAGCTTGCAAGACCATTCTAGTTACTCAGCTCTTGTTTATGCTATAAATTCAGAAGATACAGAGACCCTGAAAGTTCTTCTTAGTGCTTGCAAGGCAAAAGGGAAAGAGGTCATCATCATCACAACAGCAAAGTCGCCCTGTGGGAAGCATACTACTAAACAGTACTTAAATATGCCTCCTGTGGATATAGATGGGTGTCATTCCCCAGCCACCTGCACCACTCCTTCAGAAATAGACATCAAAACTGCCTCATCACCACTTTCACATTCTTCTGAAACAGAACTGACACTTTTTGGTTTTAAAGATCTTGAGCTCACTGGAAGCAATGATGATACCTGGGACCCAGGTTCCCCTGTGAGGAAACCTGCTCTGGCCCCTAAGGGGCCCAAGCTCCCCCAGGCTCCACCCTGGATCAAGAGTCCCCCATCATTAATGCACCAGAACAGAGTGGCTTCATTGCAAGAGGAGCTCCAGGATATTACACCAGAGGAAGAATTATCCTATAAAACCAATGGGCTGGCACTTTCCAAGCGGTTCATCACTAGGCACCAAAGCATTGATGTAAAAGACACTGCACATTTGCTAAGAGCCTTTGATCAGGCCAGCTCAAGGAAGATGTCATATGATGAAATCAATTATCAGTCTTGTCTTTCAGAAGGAAATCAGCAATGCATTGAAGTCCCTGCTGACCAGGACCCAGATTCTAACCAGACAATATTTACTTCCACCTTAAGAAGTATAGTTCAAAAAAGAAACTTGGGGGCAAATCACTACAGCTCTGATTCCCAGCTCTCAGCTGGCCTTACCCCTCCAAATTTAGAAGATGGCAAAGCACTTGTAGGAAAGAAAAAGATCCTCTCACCATCTCCTTCCCAATTGTCAGAGTCCAAAGAATTGTTAGAGAATATGCCCCCAGGTCCCCTGAGCAGGAGAAATCATGCAATTTTAGAAAGGCGAGGTTCAGGAGCTTTCCCTTTAGATCACAGTGTTACCCAAACCAGACAAGGATTTCTCCCACCCTTAAATGTAAATTCTCACCCTCCCATCTCAGATATCAATGTCAACAACAAGATTTGCAGCCTTCTTTCTTGTGGCCAAAAAGTGCTTATGCCAACAGTTCCGATTTTCCCTAAAGAATTCAAAAGTAAGAAAATGTTGTTAAGGAGACAATCATTGCAAACTGAACAAATTAAGCAATTAGTAAACTTTTAGGAGATGGGTATAAAACACACTTTCTTCAAATGTTTCTATCAGAGAAACAGAAATAGAGAAGAAATCTTAAATGTTCATTCTTTTAAATCTCATAATTGGTTAGTCCATAATGGCTAGATGGATTAAAGTGTAATGTGATTTGTACTAGGCATCATGAACATAAAAAATAATATGTAGTTTCTGTTAAGGGAATTCTGTCAAACAAAAGCAAAGCTATTTTTCCCAATGCTTCTAATATTTAACAATCTCGATGTAGTCCAAATTTGTTATTAAAAAAAAAATCAGCAAAGAAAGAAGGCCACATATGTTGGGGTAATTTTTTTAAATTTTCAGATTGGCTAAATATTTTATTAGGAAACAGTTTTCAAGTCAATAATTTTTTAACATTTCATGTTAATCAATGAGATTGTAATTTTTTATGATCCCCAAACCATAAAAGAAAACACTGACAGCTATAAAATGTTCTAAGATCAATAAATTCGAGCTACAAAGAATGAGCTAATTCTTTACAAATGATGACTGAAGGTAGATAAAACTCTACTTAAAAATTTAAAAGGTTAAACACTGTATTAGAATAGGCAACTAAAATATTCGTGGTGTCAGTTTAATCAGTGTCAAACTGGCAAGTCAGAATTTTACAACCTACTAGGAATCTATGCTGAGTCTTGTTTGTGTACTGTGTTTTGCTTTGCTTTGTTTTGATTTTTAAACAGACTTACCTGTAATGTTATCTTACGGAATTATTCTTTCTCCATATCTTTTAATTCCTATTATTAGTTTTGGAAGCCTATCCATAAGTTTCCAATAACAAGATGATATAAAAGTTAAAAAGCATTCCTCTTTACTTATATCAAATTATTCTTGTCTTTCAAAAATAACAACAAAAATGGTTCATCATGGATAAAAACTAAGCGCTTGCTTTCTTTTAAGAAGAAAAACTGATGATTAGAGTAGGTTAGCTAAAATTAAGAGAGGCAGTAGAAAATCACAAAATGTACTAAATATTTGGCAATATTAAACAATACCTTTTTATTTCTGATATGTAGTTATTAGACATTTATATATTAAGGATAACTTCCTTAGTGTGACATTCCAATCATCTAGTATTTTAGGACCTGTGAAGAACTTCCAACAAAATTAATAAATACCATATTAGTATTATAAAATAAAGTAATAATTATATCATCTATATAACTTCAAAGTACGATGTTTATACAAAGAATCCTTATTTCAATCTAGCAGCTTAACAACAAAGAATAAATCAGACTATACAAAACCTAAGTGTATTAATTTGATGATTGTCATGTACAACTTTCTTTGCCTTCTGAATAGAGGTGATCCTAACAATTGGCATGATGCTTTTCTTGGTAATTTGATATAAGCAAGTTGTAATGTACATAGTAATTATTTAATTACTTGTGACTTTAATTTAAAAAGTAATTAGAGGCTTTTCCATTTCATGTCTTCAACATTAATATTAATTACACTAAAAATATTTTTTGATTCAGAACTTAGAATTGTACCTGATATTTATAGGTAGCTAAATGCTTTCTGCAAGTTTAACATCGAGCAAAGTGCTTGACTTCAAGTTGTAAGGATACAATTTGAAAGGATATGTAAATAGATTAGTTCATAAACAAAATGGTATCAATAAAGATTTAAAATATCATTTTGGTTACTGATTTTTCTTTATCTTTCAAATACTAATGATATTTCAACATAATTTCAAGAGTAATTGTGCCACATGCTACTTTGAATCAATAGAAAACTAAGAAAGGATAACTTTTGTTGCTATTCTCAAACCAACATGAAAAAGATATTTAACAGCATTTTAAAAATGTTTTTTGGCTGGGCTCGGTGGCTCATGCCTATAATCCGGGCACTTTGGGAGGCCGAGGCAGATCACTTGAAGTCAGGAGTTCCAGACCAGCCTGGGCAACATGGCAAATCCCCATCTCTACTAAAAATACACAAAATTAGGCTGGGCATGGTGGCTCACACCTGTAATCCCAGCACTTTGGGAGGCTGAGGCTGGTGGATCATGAAGTCAGGAGTTCGAGACCAGCCTGGCCAACGTGGTAAAACCCCATCTCTAGTAAAAATACAAAAATTAGCTGGATGTGGTGGCGTGTGCCTGTAATCCC